TTCTTCTTCTTCTTCTTCTTCTTCTTCTTCTTCTTCTTCTTCTTCTTCTTCTTCTTCTTCTTCTTCTTCTTCTTCTTCTTCTTCTTCTTCTTCTTCTTCTTCTTCTTCCTCCTCCTCCTCCTCCTCTTCTTCCTCTTCCTCTTCTTTTCTTCTTCTTCTTCTCCTCTTCCTCCCCCTCCTCCTCCTCCTCCTTCCTCCTCTTCCTCTTGTTCTTCTTCCTCTTGTTCTTCCTCCTCTTCCTCCTCCTCCTCCTCCTCTTCTTCTTCTTCTTCTTCTTCCTCTTCCTCTTCCTCTTTCACTTCTTCCTCTTCCTCTTCTTCCTCTTCTTCCTTCCTCTTTTTCTCCTCCTCCCTCCTCCCTCCTCCCTCCTCCCTCCTCCCTCCTCCCTTCCTTCCTCCTTCCTTCTCAAGGACTTTCTTGAGGAGAAGTGAAACATCCTCAAAGAAAAACCAGAAAGTCCACTTGTCTCTTGAAAAAGCACCTTTGGGACCAAAAGGCTTGTGATTTACACTGGCTCCTTATTTATACATTTGATTATCTGTTTTCATTTTGTCTTTAATTCCGGATGATTCAATCGCCCGTTGTTCAAGGCAATTCAATACCTTTATCCTGATTATGGCTTTGCATGGGAATAGAGCAAAGGTGGAGAGGAGGAACAATTCTCTGGATAGGGAACCACAAATGAATATTGCATCCAATTTTGGTCACCCCACTGCAAAAGAAGACATTGAGACTTTGGGAAAAGTGCAGAGAAGAGCAACTAGGATGAATAAACACCTGGAGACTAAAACATAGGAAGAATGATTATAGGATTTGGGTATATCCAGTCTAGAAAAAAGAAGGACCAGGGGGGACACGTTAGGTATTTGAGGGGCTGCCCCAAAGAAGAAGGGGGTCAACTTAGTCTCCAAAGCCCCAGAAGGCAGGACAAAAAACAGTAGGTGGAAACTCATCAAGGAGAGAAGCAACCTGGAACTAAGGACAAACTTCCTAACAGTCAGAACAATTAACCTGTGGGCCTTGTAGGTCCTCCATCTTTGGATGTTTTTAAGAAGAGACTGGACAGCCCCTTGTTTGAAATGGTATGGGGGGGGTCTCCTGTTTGAGCAGGGGGTTGGGTTAGAAGATCTTCAAAGTCCCTTCCAGCTATATTCTGTATTATATAGCCTTGTGTGGGCCAGTCCTGCTATTCATAAGCACTTATCCCTATAATTTGAACAGCTCATTCCCCTATTAATTAATTGCAGGACTAGAAAACTGGCCAGTAACATTTAATAGAAAAACAGAGTTGGGAGGGAACTCTATACCATTTCAGACAAATTTGTTGGGAACAATCAGAGAGGGGAAAATTAATGATTAAGTACTGTCAGACCACATTGTGATCATGTCACTCACATTTTATTTGACTTGTTGCAGAATTGTCTGTATTCACTACTTCAGAATAATTGTTTGGGCCTTAAAAGCCTTCACCAGGTTGCAACCTGGATATCTAAAGGGCCATGTCCCATATATTCCTCCTTTCTTGCATTCTCAACATTGCTCTTGGATATCAGACCTATGGAATAGAATAGAATAGAATAGAAAATAGAACAGAATAGAATAGAACAGAACAGAATAGAATAGAAAATAGAACAGAACAGAATAAGAATAGAATAGAATAGAATAGAATAGAATAGAATAGAATAGAATAGAATAGAATAGAATTCTTTATTGGCCAAGAGTGATTGGACACAGAAGGAATTTGTCTTGGTACAAATGCTCTCAGTGTCCATAAAAGAAAAGATACATTATCAAGAAGAGTCAAGAATCATCAGGTACAACACTTAATAATAGTCAGAGGGTACAGTAAGCAATCAATTCATGCCAGTCAATAAAAATCGTAGGGATACAAGCAACAAAGTTACAGTCATTCTTAACTATGGAGTTAAGAAGTTTTAATGCCAAGCTTTTCTTTTGGCATTAATTTTGCAGGCTGCAGGGAATAATAATAATAATAATTAAAAATACCAAGATTTAATTTTTCTAGCATTTGATTAAAACATGGTTGCTCAGAAAGATGTTTGGCTGAATATTATTTAAATGCAGTTCTGCGGCTGCTTTATTACATGCTACTGATAACTTATTGATCTTATATTGTTATATGACTGTATTTTGCAAATTACGTTCTATTTGCTGAGCTGGAAGCAGGTCAAAAAGAAATGCGTCTATAAGACAAACCAAGAGATATAGCTTAATGAAGGAATTTATTAGAGTAAACTAAAAAGAGGTTAATATCTTAAACCTGCCTATTCTTATCATTCAAATGTTATGATATCAAACAGTACTTATTATTTAACAATTATGGTTACAAATAGAGTATATTTATAGCCATAATGCCTGTCATAAACTATAATATTAACTGAATATCAGAATATCAGAAATTGAACAGGCTTTAATTACAGTCACAATGGTTGAAACATATAATTTTAGGGTAGCTTTCAGATCAGTATTTGGCATGGATCTCTTTCTTTCTTTTTTCCCCCTAAGTGTTTGTTAAACAGCAACTCCTTGTTATCATAAGGCAAAGAGATAGCAAAGCTGGTTTCTATCTCAGTCTGTAGGGATTGTGGCCAGTCTCAGAAAATTGTGCTCAGAGCTGGAATAGAGTGGAATGGAGTGGAATGAAATATAGAGTAGAGTAGAGTAGAGTAGAGTAGAGTAGAGTAGAGTAGAGTAGGAATAAATGGAATAGAATGGAATAGAATAGAATAGAATAGAATAGAGTAGGAATAAATAGAATAGAAAATTAGAATAGAGTAGAATAGAATAGAATAGAATAAGGGAATAGAGTAGAGAAGAGAAGAGAAGAGAAGAGAAGAGAAGAGAAGAGAAGAGAAGAGAAGAGAAGAGAAGAGTAGAGTAGGAATAAATGGAATGGAGTGGAATGGAATGGAATAGAATAGAATAGAATAGGAATAGGAATAAATAGAATAGAGTAGAGTAGGAATAAATAGAATAGAAAATTAGAATAGAATAGAATAGAATAGAGTAGAGTAGAGTAGAGTAGAGTAGAGTAGAGTAGAGTAGAGTAGGAAT